GATTAATGAAAAATATCTTTTTGAATAAGTCATGTTTGATCAGTAATTTATTTTTAGTCCCTAAAATGTTTTAATACATGAACCAATACATTAATTATATGATAAGAATAAATGTTATTAAGAGTACTTCATGAACTATGAATATTCATGAATTACAAGTAATTCATAAACTTTAAACATTCATAAATTATAAACATTCATGAACTATGAACAATTATCATACTTAATAAAACATCCATGAATTACAAAGATTCATGAATTATGAGTATTAATGTTTTGGTTTTCAAGTCCTATAAATAGGTGTATTAGATGAGTGGAAAGGAATTAAAAATTTTCTTGAGTTATTACCCCTCTTTGTTGTTAGTTTTTCTAAGGACTTGTTCTTCCATTCTTTCTTTCTACTCTAAAGCTTAGGTGTTCAATCTCTATGCAAAGATATTGAGTATTGTTCCTTTGAGTTCATTGTACCTTATTTAAGAGTGCACCTAAATAAGAATTTGTTGGAAATTTGTTTAATCAATGTGATTTAAAAAAATTATGGGTGAATGAGAAATTAATCTAAAAAAACCCTTAATTTTTCTATATTCGATTATTCATTAATGGTGGTTAATAAAAGGTTGATAATGGTAAGAATGGATTCTTATTAATTCTTCAACCTTTTAGCTCCCAAAACTCACTAAAAAAAAAGTAGAGAAAAAGTTTCTAACTTAAATTTTTTAGATTTTTTCACACTCTGCCTCACTTTCTTTTAGTGTTTTCATTCTCTTTATGCTTTAGTTTTTTCTCTCAAATCTAGAGCGTAGGTTTATACTTTGTTGAGAGATTTGAATTCTTTTATTTTTGTTAAAAGACCTTATTTAGAAGTGCATCTAAACTAAGGTGGTATTATTGGAATCTTGAAAGGTTTATTACAAAAATTCTAATCGTACAAGTGATGAGCAAAAAAGTTCTAAGAACAAAGGATTCCTCTTTGACCACAACAAAAGTTTCATGCATTTAAAGTACTAAAACAAGTAACTATCATTGTTTGCTTTGATTTAAGTATTGCTATTTTTATTATTAATATGGATGCTAGAACTTTGATATAATATATATTTTATGTTTGAATATATGCTTAGATGCATGCTAATATTCTTTTTATTATATTTATATTAAAAGCATATTTCTCTTAAATTTTATTTTGTATATTTATAAATTTAAAATTATATGCACTCTAGACTTACATTGAACAATTTTTTGTGCTTTGAATGCTCTTACTATAATAAACTAAATATTTTTGTTCAATAGTCTAATGTAATACAACATATTCTAACAGCAATCTTAAGACTTTATTTTTTATATTTGACTTGGTTTAGTTTATCTTATGGGAATAATAATAATAATAATATAGATTAATTTTGAAAAAAGGTTTTAACATATTTAAAACCTAAGTTATAATTTAACTTTCTTGAATTTGCTATATTCTCACATATAGATTTGATTTTAATTTTATATGCTTTAATCTATAACCTTTCCGTTTGTTATAATTTCCCCCATTTTTCTTTTGTTAAGATTTATAAGGTTGTTATATATCTCTTTTTTAGTTATAATTTATGTTCTAAAATTGCTTTTCATGCTTTAACAATTATATGATCATTACTATTTTCATATATATGATTGTTCACATGTACAAAAAATTAATACAGTGAATAGATGCAATCTAAGAATTTTTATTTAAAGAAATTGGGTTTAAAAAAGGAATGTTTGTGACATCTCTATAATATTTTTGAAAATTTACTTAGTGAAAATATTATTCAAATGATACTATTTTTTACAATATAGTTTGCATGTGAAATAGTGATAATTAAACAAATCATGGTGAACAAAATAGGGCTCAACATAGTAACCCAATAAAGAGAATAATTATTGATTTTATCTTGCATAATTTAAATATTTTTATTAATTAAGTTACTTTATTACATGTTTTTTTTTATTACTTGCTTGTTGTTGAGGTGGAATATATATATATATATATATATATATATATATATATATCATGTCTTCTAGTTAAGATTTAATTGTGTCAATAAATGTTGCTTTAGCAAGTATTATTTTAGTAGTGAGGATTCTATCGTCACCTTCTACGGTGTATGGTGAAAAACATTGAAAATGTGTTTAAATAATAAGATTTAAATAAATTATGAATGAATAAAAAATTAATTTCAAAGAATTCTTGGTTTTTCTATATTTAATTCTTGATTTATTGTGGCTAATTAAAGATTGAAAATAGTGAAAATTAATTTTTATTAATTCTTCAACATTTTAGTTTCTAAAATTCATTATAAAAAGAGGGTGAAGGAAGAGTTTCTAACTTGAATATTTTTTATTTTTTTACTCTCTTTCTTAACTTATTTTTCTTTTTTCATTCTCTTTTATGCTTTGATTGTTTTTCTTAAATCTAGAGTTTAAATTTATATTTTGTTAAGATATATTTGAGTTTTTTTAGTTCAAACACCATAATTAAAAGTGTATATAAACTAAGGTATATTGTAAACTTCCTAGATGAACAAGTAAGGAGCAATAAAGCTTTAAAGACAAACAATTTGTCTTTGATAATAACAAAATTTTCATACTTTTAAAGTGTTTCTATAAGTATCTTTTTTTATTTTAATTTAATCATTATTATTTTTATTATTGGTATGCATATTAAAACTTTAATCTTATATACATTAAAAGTCTGAATATATGTTTAGAATGAATGCTAGTATTTTTTTTATTATATTTATGTTAAAAGCTTGTTTGTCTTAAATTTTATTTTGCATGTTTATAGATTTAAAATCATATACATTTTAGGCTTACCTTGAATAATGTTTTATAATTTGTATACTATAAACTAAAAATTCATACTCACTATTTTTATATAATACAATATATTTTGATAATATAAGAAATTGTTAGAATCTTGGAAAACTTTTATAAATAATAAAGTTTTAAAGAGTATGATTACTCTTCGACAACAACAAAATTTTATATTAAATATTTTTTATAAATTTATATATTTATTTGGTATATATAATAGCCTTTTATAATGAATGCATGGTTATCATGATGTTATTATATGTTGGCATGATTATAAACTAAATAAAAAAATTTTGCTTGTCTAATTTATTTATTTTTGTGAATTTTTAGACAACAGCTGCTACAGAGGGTGATGATTTTCATCGAGAGATTCTCCGGCTGCTAGATTCGAGCGGTTGCTATGACGAGGCAGATGTGGTTCCAGCAACTCATGCAGTAGAGGCTAGCTCTTATTGGCTTCAGGCTACACCAACCCTTCACACTCCTGATGATGTTGATAGAACATGGAGTCTCGGATTCCAGCCTTACCAATTGATCAGCTTCATTTTCTCGAATGCTGCTAGAAGCAAATCCTGCATTACGTGCAAATGGAGCGTTCTTGCTGCTTCTTTCTCCTTCTCTTTTATTTTCCTCAAAAGGAGAGCTGGCTGATGATATCCAAGGAAGCCGCACTTGGAGATTTCTTAGTGTTGTAGCCTTTTTATTTTTATTTATTTGTAGAGAACACTAATCAATTTATCAATTCATGTTTGTAGCTATTTTTTTTTTTTTGGTGATAATATCATGACAGTAGAATAGTTATGAAATTTGAAGTGGTCCGATAGATTGATAAGAGGCATGGACTGATTTTAGTTAAAGAAAAAAGAAAAAAATAGTTAACTCTGCTAAAAACCCTAGTTAACTTGATAATCCACATCTTTTTAACCCTTTGAATATTTTTGAAAAAAATAAGATTTTTCTGGTAAAAATAATATTATTATGATTTTTTTTAAAAGAAAAAATTTGCAGGCTCAACACAAATCGACTCTTTTAACTTGTGATCCAGGTCTGACGCCGAATCAACTCCTGCTTCGGTTTTTACAGTAGAAGTTTGGTTGATAGGATGGATACAAACAGAGGATGTTAGATTGTAATTTCTGAGTTATTAAGGGCAAACCTGTTTCCATCTTCCTCTAAAAAAGTTCAGTAAAAGCTATTAGATTGTCCTTCTGTCCATGGTTGAACGGCACCAACAGCAAGTCAAGAGGACTCTATGCCTCACTCAAACTATCCATTCCCCAGCAGGTGATCTCTTGATGCTAGATAAGTAGCCTGACTGGTTAGGACCGCCATTTCGACTGCGGACACCTGAGAATTAATCGGTATTCCGGCTCCATCAATGAAAAGCAAGCTTTATCAAATCTAATTAAATCTTTGCTTCTTTAAGCAGATCGCTCAAAGAGCCAAGGGCCAGCTGTTAAGTTAGCGCATTGGGAATTAAATGCTTTCACAAAATGAATGGCCTTTTTTAGGTCTATCTGAATTTTATGCCACGATACACAACGACCAGGTCTTGAATTTGTCGATACCTAAAGCTAAACCCTCTCAAAGAACAAAGCCTAGCAAATTCCCATCTTAATCAATACAAGTATATGATTCTACGGAATGAGCTCGAGCTGTTTACCTGAACCAAAAATCTATTCTCAAGGAATTGGGAAGCATACGCACCTAATACTAATTTCATTCGTCATTGCTTCTGCATTCAGCAATACAGGCATCTGATCACGAGGGATTTCCATGATTGTAACTCTAGGAATATGAGCAAAAATTGTACTTTACAACCAGAAGATACTAGAAAAAAAAAATCACATCATTTTCACTATAAATATCGACTGCTTCTTCTAAAGTCAGAGGAAATGTGTTAATGAACATTATATGATACCGGTAAGGCATTCCAAGATTGGACAAAATCAATCCTGTTACACAGAGAAGTTGTTTCCAGAATTTAACAATACTACCTGTTGAGGTGAATTGGTTTTTTTCTTGTATCCTTCCAGTATTTGAACAATCCCACTATCATTCCCTTACAAGAACAGATTCACGGAGAGATGAATCTGAAAATATTGATTTCAAGAGAAGGCAAGGTATGCAATCTCTGGCCAACCGAAGCATGCTAAATGGAATTGGAATGAGACACTAAAACTTGATTCAAACATTTGGGACAAAATTTCGACTAGAATATGATGATAAATACAACTAAGGTTCCTAAAATTACACTGATTAATTCATATAGCAAAAACAAACTCACACCCCTAATTATACACCAATTCTGCTGCTACGATTAAGAGACCATGAAAAGGGCAAATGATCATAATAGAAATATTATAGATGCACATTTTCTTACAATGATATGTACATCAAATCTGAAAGAATGCATAAACAGGTAACACACTACAAAAAGATAGAAGATGTACTCAGCCTCCCTCCAAGCTCTTCCTTTTTAAGTTTTCAAGTTGGATTGACATCTCGTGAAACTTGGCCTTGCCATCTGCATGAGAAAAAAGGATCAAAATCTTTAATAGCATATCCATAAAAAGCACTACAATATAAACAGTAAAAGAACAAACAAAAAGAGTCAGAAAAATCATTATTTACTATTTAGAAATACATAAAAAGATCAAAATCTTTACTCCTGGTTATTAAACCCGGCTTGGCCCGAAGGGTCGACCAAAGACCTGGTCGAACCCGTAAATATTAGAAAAATATTTTATTTCTTCAATATAAATCGCAAAAGAACAAATAAAAGACCGGCCAGGGCACCAACTTGACAAAACCAGTCGACCTGGCAAGTTAACCCATGACCCGGGTGAACTTGGACGAGACCCACTGTCTTTTTTTCTCTTTCAAATGTGGTTTTTTCCTATACCCCTCTTTTTTCATATTTTTTTAGTTGGTTATTAACACTTTTTAAAATTTACTATATAAATATTAAAAAAATATTTTATTTTTTCAATGTAGGATTTGAAACTCTTTAGTACATATACTCTATGTTCACAAAAAAAAAAGTTAGGTTTTTTCAAAGTGGGATAAAAAACTTTTTGATTTAAATAATTTAATTTAAAAAGATAATATAATATCTTTTCAATGCAGGATTTGAAACCTTTTCATATATAAACTCTATGTTCACAAGAAAAAAATTGTATTTTTTCAATGTAAGATTTAAAACCCATTAATATATATACTCTATATTCCCAAGAAAAAAAAATTATTTTTTCAATGTGAGATAAAAAAAAATTTTGGTTTAAATACTAAAAGCATAACATAATATCTTTTTAATGCGGGATAAAAAACTTCTTAAAATATTCTTTTAAACTTCATTATTTACAACATGCATATGTTATATTTACATGGATTTTTTTATTAATTTTTTCATATGAAATATTAAAACTTCAAATATTTTTTTTAAATTTTCTGGATTGACCAATGAAACCCGGAACCCGGCCCCTTAGCCAGGTCAATCCTTGAACTAGATTTAATAACTATGTCTTTAATAGCCAAAGATGCTCGAGTCAGATGCAAGATTTTCCTATTTTCAAATAATAAATAATTCATTGATGGTACAAAAATCACTTAAACCAACCTTGAGAGCAGAAATCTCGCAAGAGGACTTAAATTGGCATTTGAATTAAATTCCTTGGTCGGTTGCTTTTTCCTGCTATCAGCATTTGTATTTCCATTTTGTGTTTCTTCAGGGGTTGTCTCGCCCTTGCTTAATAGGCGAGCTGCAAGCTCCTGCAGATCTCTCAGTGAAGATTCTTTCGAACTGCAGAAACCGCTTTTACTTCAGTAATTTGAACTAAAAATTGCCACTATGTTGGCAAATACTATCACATTAGCATAATTTTCTTAGACAGTTCAAGTAAGAATTTTGAACCTTGCCAACTGCTGAAGCAAACTTCTGACAAAGATATCACAAGATCCAGGCTTTACCCGCTCCATATTTACAAGCGAATTTGTGACTGCATGAAAAAGTGCTCTTTCTGAATCATCAGCAACAGCCTATATCATACATATCAAGCTATTAGAAATGAAACAGGTGAAGATGAAATTGACACAAACTTAAAAAGAACATGTGGAGCCATCAGATTGCACATAGAACTTAAATCAAAGATACCTAAACTGTTGGCAGGGACCTAACAGGCTCACAATTTTTAATCACTAGAAAATACAAGAAATTGTGTGCACTAGCACTCCAATGCGACAAAAAGAAAAGACAAACACAACATATTTCCACAATGTCTAAAAGGCACATAAATGAACAAGAGAATAAGAAAAGAAAGACACGATAGCACAAGTCTAGTAAACATGGGAAATAACAAGGTAAATGTTTCATTATTAAATGCAGTTGACTACAGCGATCTAAAGATTTAGTAGCACAAAACTGATTTCTTTTATTTCTTGATAAGCTTATGAACTAACTTGTAAAGCAACCTGATCAATTTTGTCATACAAAATTAGTTGAAGAAAAGCAAAACAAAATATTCCATGTTTCATATAACCCTAGGCGGATATAATAAATGATCTGATGGGCCAAATTTGCTGCATAGCTAGTACCAATCTTTGCAATGGTTTGTCAGAAGCTAAAGAGATGTGAATTGATGAGAAATACTACATCCACCTGCTCTATTGCCAAAATTCATTTTGTTGACAGAAACGAACTTCATAACTGACTTGTCACCTAGGAAATTAGATTATAATTTATGAAATAACAACACTAAAATACCTCTGTCATGCAAATCTGAAAACTGATACACAGCATCATTTGGCTACTCACCTCTTTTAAGGATGGGATAAGCAAAACTGACAAAGATGCTGATGCTATTCTTGCACTTTCTTCAACATCGCTGGCTTGCTGTGATCTTGGAAAAGCTTTTGGTGCATCGAAGTATTCAGGAGAACTTCTGAGGTAGAAGTGTTGCCCTTATGAAATTTGTAAAAAACTTTCTTTTTTCTTTTTTTCGCAGGCAAAATGATTATCCACGTGTTTAAGTATAAGGTACCTGGAAGAATCAGAGCTGTTTGTCAATTGCTCTCTTCTTCTGTTCTCCAGCCCATATCTATTATTATTGCTTGGTACAAACCTTTCTCTAGCATTTCCTTTCCTCAACCCTCCTTGAAACGCAGCCCTTGCCTGCATACACACGACAATCAACAAATCTTCTCAACATAAGCACACTGAAAGGTTCCAGATCAGAATCTACTGACAAACATGAAACTGTCAAAAGGAGAAAAGGTCGGGAATCTGAAAAAAAAGGTAAAAACATGACTTGAGCAAAAGCTTTAGGTAGATCCAGAGACCAAATCTTCAGGATTGGTTGGGGCAGACAATCGAACTTTAGATGAGAAAATAAAACAATAAAAAATACAAGCAAGATGGAACGCAAGTTCTAACATTGCTTCAGGAATGAGTACAGTTGAGAAGCACTAAATAACAATTCAAGACTGATTCAAAAGGATCTGATGATTAATGGCCATATTTACAAGCTGCCTAATGAAATTAGCATGTAACAATAAAACACAGAAGTAACCTCGGCAAGATTTAGAGCACTGTCCTCCAGTGAAGAACTTGAACTTCTCTCTTGCATTCCTAATATGGATTTATGAGTCCGAGGAGAGTCAGATTCATCATGTTGGCCACGGAAAACAACTGTTCCACTGGTAGAAGCATCTTCAAAAGTAGTTGATGTGCTGCTAGACTACACAACATAAAAATCTGATAAAATAAATGGGTTGCACAGGGAAAGCAATACGTATTGCACAACTTAATACAGAAGTCGTACCGCATTGTTTTGATCTCGAAACAAGGCAGATGACTGATATCCTTTAGGAGTCCGTATGACAACAGTTCCTGATCCACTCAAGGACAAATCATCCTGGAAATTGAGTACTTCAGCCAATATTAAAAGTTTGGTCTAGAGAGTTCCAGCTTATTCAATTTCTGCTATAATTTCCGATCAATTAAGCACACTACTGAATTTCTAACCAGTCAGCAGCAGGTTTGAAAAAAACTGGCTAACATGTAGGCATTTACTTCTATAAAATTCTAGCGTGAGTCGCTGTTGGAAACATTCCAGGAGAATGCCATTGCTTGTGCTTAGGCATGTAAATTTTACCAATCATGTTGATGGCAGCCGCTAACATCTAAATATTTAGTACAGCTGATTTCATCACTTCTTCTTCTTCTTCTTCTTCTTTATTTTTTTTTTGTGTGTATTTTAGAAAACTATCTTGGTCTCTATTCTTAGCCCACAACACAGGTGAAGTTTTCATTCTTGATATAATGCATAATTCAAAAGAGAGCACTTACATCATCATAGGAATTATCCTGATGATCATCACGATATCGATCCCTAGCATCTTTACCATAGGATAATTCCAGTGATTCCTGAAGTGCATTTCCAGATGCAGACAACAAATGATTACCACTCTCTGAAGCTCTTCTTTGGGTATCCTTATTGTATGAAATATCTGTTTTCTTTTCTCTAACCTGCGGTGGTCTTGCAGCACTTCTAACTGTTCCTGTAGCCTGTGATCCACCAATGCTGAAGTCCCATCCAGCATTTTTGAAGGGCTTTCCCTGACCGCTGCAAATTAAACCAGTCCATTGGAATAAGATAACACACAATGCAGACAATAAACAATAAAGAAATGAAATTCACCTGGCTCGAACAGTTCCATCAGCCTTCAACTCTCTTACAACCTTCACAGTATCAAAACCTTCCCCTATTCCTATAGGACCATTTCTGGGGGTTTCTGCATCCTTTATCTGGTACATTGGACGCTCTCTATCAAGATGACAACAAGAATGTAAATATTGTGCTTGCTTATGTAACAAAGATGCATCCAGTTTTGCATTTTGTTTAACAAAAACACATGCCAGGAACTGTTACAGGAAATAATGCCTGAGACAAAATTAAGCACATTTCAAGCTACCTTATGATACCTTATATCCTTAATACTGACATAAGGAAATAAAACAAAATAGAGAGAGGAGAAAAGGAAGGCAAAAAGAAAAAAGCTTCAGCAACCATATTTGTTTTAGGGGGGGTGCAGCATCCTAAGGCAAAGGACAAAAGCAAGATATCGCACCTTATTCTTTCCAAAAGCCTTGGGCTCTTTCTAGCATTTCTAATAAACCGATGCCTTAGAAGTTCCTTAGCAGTTGGCCTCTGAAATTTAATACATGGAAAATTAAAAAGAAAAAATGAAACAATGGTTAAGCCAACAACATAGACATTAAATACACAGCACCCATTTCAACTAACAAGTATCAGAACATTCAGAAACATCGATAAATAAAAGAAAACAGTAAGAGAAAATAAGGGTTTGTTCACTAATAGAAAATTATTTTCCTTTTCCATTTCCAGTTTTCTTTTTATTTTCCAGTTCTTCCTTTCCAATGAAAAATTGAAAAACACGATCATTTGCTGAGAATGAAAAGGAATTTTTCCACTAAAAAAAATAAGAAATACATTAAGATTACAACTATTTTTCATAAAAAATCAAAACCATAATTTATAATAGTCATCTTAACATCTTATATTCATGATAATCTAATTATAAAATATTAATTTGTTTTCATTCAAATTAAAAATTATCATAAAAAAGTTATACTGTTAGCCCAAAGCAAAGTTTATATTAGATTTTTAATAAAATATAAATTTATGGCACTAACTAAATATGAAAATATGAAAAAAAATTAATATTTTATATGCAAAAAAGTGCTTATATATAAAAGAAAAAAATTGCATTTTTCATGTTTTTTCTTCATTTGAAAAAAGTGGAAAAATTATAAAGGAAAATGATGGAGGACCTCTAAAATGTTTTCAAACTCAATACAAATTTTGAAAACTGAAAAAAAAATAAATGAACAAAATATTATATTGAAAAGGAAGTTTCAGTTTTCTAACTCTGGTTTTTCTAGAAAATTGAAGTATTGCTCTGTTTTCAAACAGCCCCTAAACTTCATATTACATCAAGAAAGTCATGTATCAGCTTAAAATGTCTTCAGATAAAAATTGAAAGACAAGAATCTTAATCACAACATTGCATCAGATTGCTTTGGAAAATTGATGTTTTGTTAGTGTATTGAGTAAAATTTTTAAGCTAATAAATTTAGGAAACAAAAGCAAAACCCATCTCATTGGGTTGGGTTGTTGCTCAAAGCAAGTAACCAATCCTTGCAAGTCTCAAGGAATTTGAGTGCAAGGAAACCATACAAAAACCATCAGTGCTCTTACATGCTTCACCAATGTGTCAGAATGCAAGGTCTCACACCAAACAAGAAGAAAATGCTTGGTAAAAAGTTATATTTTCTTGTCAGTTCACATTCCTTTTGAAAATGTGACATCACGGAAGGAGGATTCTTATTTGCAGATCCGCAAACAAATCCAAGTAAAATATGAGTCTACGAAAATCTTGTCATAAGACAGGTGGGACTATGATTTATCCAAAAACAAATCAGGCACCACCAAACTTTTGCTAAATTCTAAATGGTAGGGCTGCACAACCCCATAATTTTCCACCCAAATATCCCATACCAGACAACACAGTTTCAGTACAAGAATCTGTGGTAGGTATTAATTGAATTGGTCATAAGCATTCTTGTAACCATTTCAGTCAAAATAGTTCCTGGCACCCAGGATAATCAACACCTATGAAACCCGTCTACTGCAGGTTGAATGTTAATTTGAGAAAATTGTATTGATTAAAGCTACATAAAAATCATACTGTCCCATTCGCTTTTGAAATAGTTCATATCCTGCATAATTCACCTAACTTATTGACAGATGAAATTCTACCCCCAAAAGGCTTTGGTTGTGTAAAGAGCTTAAAAACAGGATCCATTTCAACATTTACCATGGTCAAAATCCTTCTCCCAATCATCAGACATGAAAAAGAAATATGAGAACCGTTGCACTGGTATAGTGTAAACACCAAAACAAAAAGGAGCTGCCATACAGCAGCAACAGCCATGAAAACCAAGAAATAAAGTAAAATGTGATTCCCCTAATTAAACATATATCTTTGAAAGGTATGCTATCACTTGGATGTGATATCTGCAAGGGTAGCGTAAATTTGATTCAGTGTTCTCACAAGCTCCCTTTTTTGTCAGCAAGGGGCATAAATTCTGATGGAAGGTGATATAATTCACGCAAACAAATTACTGAGTGGAACAAAGGATCTCCACTCAAAAAACAACAAACTCCAGCAAAACAACATGGAGAATCACAGCAAACAATTGGATTTGAAAACTCAATTAACTGAATTGAGAACACTATATCAGCAATATTCATTTTTTTGTGACAAGTATTTGAGGAAACATCCTAGATTCACAGAAGTCCCTAGTCTCCTCCCCTTGATTTAACCACCCCCCCAACACAAACCCCAGCACCTCATGTAATAAGTGGACAATGAGGTATGATATTCAGTTGTAAATTTTGCAGCTCTTGCTAATCAATTTGAACACATCACCAGTTTTGCTTTTCACATTCATTCAACATCCAAAAATAGAAAGAAAAACAAACTCCACATAGCAGATCTCGTTCTTAAGAACAAAACTAGATGAACTCAGTATAATGATCCAAATCAAGTTCAAATCCAAACTCCAACTTTTCATATTTCTAAGACAATGGATATGGGGACTAGTATCAGAGGTTCTGCAAGGGTGCAGGGAGATGTTTATTTATCATTATCATATTGTTACTACATTTTTTATACCATCTGACATGCTCTATACTGATAAAGCTTTTTCTAATTTATAAATGGGGCACCTCTGGCAAAGAAACACACAAACAGGGAAGCAATAAATGGCTCTTCATTTTCTTATTTGTTCCTACAGATCAATCTTTGACAGTTCAAAGAGAACATGTTGCACCCTCTCTCAATGTGTGTGTTTGGGAGTGCGAGCATGCATGCATGGTCATATCATGATAAGGGAACTTGAAGCAACAAGCATGTCATGAAATTTCATTGAAAAGTTGGACTTGAGTTTAACCAAGCCCTAAATTGATTCTTCCACTTGCAATGACACAAGAACACCCAATTCATAGGAAACCCATCATAGCTCCAATATTCACAAGGAAACGGGAAATAAATAATACAGAGGAAATAAATACTAGCCTCGGCAGGAACTTTCTTTAAACAGAACGAGACGAACTCTTTCATAGGACGAGAAAAGTGTTCATCCAGCTGCACGAGAAACAAATGTTGAATAGTAATTCCATATGTTAAATACATATTTCATCATTCTACAATTGTAAAGTCACTAATCAGTTTGACATTAAAGAATGCAGAGAGAACCTGTGGTGGATTTTCTCGAGGTATGATAAAGAGAACCCTCATAGGATGAAGATCAGCAAGTGGAGGTTCCCCTTTTGCCATCTCAATAGCAGTTATCCCTAGAGACCAAATATCTGCCTGCATCAAGCAAGGGCTTTAGCATGACCACACTCAAACGTTGACATGAAGGGAGGGAGGGAGGAGTGATGTACAGCTCTAGCAAAACAAATCAGAAAACCCAAAAGAAAAGCTAAGAACTGTTTCAAAGATACCTTCACATTGTATCCTTCTGAATTCTGAATCACCTCTGGAGCCATCCAGAATGGTGTTCCTACAAAAGTCTGTATTTGTTAACCAAATTAGCATATTGCTGAACAGATTTTTCACTCAAAATTGAATGCCAGAACAAAGCAAAAAAAGTTTAAATGATAATTATCAGAAAATGATGAGTTCTAGTCAGCCAAAGAATGCTACCAACTTGAATTGCAAATCGGAAGAAAGAAATGGTTAACTGACAAAATATCTAATGAAGATGAATTCCAGTAATCCAACAAATGCTACCAACTTGAATTACAAAACTTGAAAAACAAAAGGACAGTAAACAGGGGGGCCTGTGGCCCAAAATGGCCAGTGCAAATAAGCCAACTAGGAATAATAATTGGAAGGGGAACCACACCACTCATTCAAACAGGAAATAATGGTGATGTCTCCATCTACTAAATAGTTACTCCCTTCCTCCAAAAATAAAAGGCCACTACAAAAAGCAATAAAATTTATTTTTTTTTCTCAATAAGAGAATTCATTCAATTATTTTCTTTATTTTTAGTTTTCAATGAATTGAACAAAGATTTCAATTGTTTTAATTTAACAATTGAATTATGATCTAATATCATTTTCTATGGTTTCCCACAATAGTTTCTGCTGATCTGCTATTTTTCTGTAGCAATTATCTGCTACTCCTTCATAATAATTTAACAAACAAAAAAAGCAAATGTCATAATACAAGTTTAGCAACGAATAGGTCCTAAAACAGTAGACCTAACAATAAATGATAAACAAAAAGTCCACAAGGCATATTCCACTATGTGATACGCTCTTTACTGGTTGGAGAACAAAGCTTAGCTGAATAAGTTGTAGTACCTTTCTCCTCGATATTGTTCCTGTTAACTGTGCAGAAACGCCAAAATCTGCAACCTGTCACAAGGTCACCATAGTAAATTGGAATACTAAAAGTGAGCACATAACTCCACCACTTTCTCAAATAAAAAGTACAAAAAGTGGTAAAGCTACTACATTATCATATCTTCTAATTCACCACTCTACAGATAATCAAGGGGGCCTTTTAAGCCTATTCAAGACAAAAGGAAATACCTTAACATCACCATTCTCGCTCAACAATATGTTAGCAGCTGCCAAAATTTAGTGGGCAGGATGTCAGTGGGCAAGCAATTCAAGCAAGCATTGAGGCAAAAAAAAAAATAACAGGAAGGAAAGAAATTAAAAGCAAATTAAAAATAAATAAAAAATTTTGCAAAACCTTTAATATCTCTGTGAATTTTTCCTTCATTATGTAAATATTCAATAGCATGCAGCAAGTCCCGTAAAATACAAGCAATTGACATTTCATCCAGTGGAGGACCTGACTGCAGCTGCGGAAATAAAAATATGTATTAGCTTTTCAGAGAATAATCATTATCTAGAAAATTATCTGGTTCAATTATAAATAAACAATAATTGACAATTACTGCATCAACATTGCAAATAACCATTATTAGGAATCTTTCACAGACAAAATTACTAATTTCATGTAACAAAGAAACAAAACAAGTGAAGTAACCTACTAGGTCAGCAACAGATCCACCAGCCATGTACTCCATAATTATCCATAGTTTCGTCTGGTGAAGATAGGATCCATAGTACTCCGTGATGTATGGAGATCGGCATTGGCGCAAAACAGAAATTTCCTAGCAAAAAACTTAGATGCATGAGGAACAAAATCATCACATATAATAAATGGATAACCCTGAATAAGAGGTAATACCTTTTGAATGTCTTCAATTTCATCCTCACTGCAGAAGAAAAAAATCAAGCAATATTTAGGAATTAGAGAACCACATTATACTGTTTATAAAGCTCGCAGGCTAAAATGTTTTTGGAGAAAAAAAATAGCAGTCTGTTTGCAGTACAAAAAGCTTCTAGTTCAATACGAGCCAAGAGGCCATATAAAAAGTAATCTCCCCTAACATGCATTTTACCATAAGGAAAGACATATCATAGATTAAGTCAGAACATACAGATACCAGAACATGTTTCCATTGTTGTTTCCCAAACATCTCGGTATTTTTTGTCTTTTTTTGGCTGATTGTAAATATTTTGCTAATACTAATCTCCTTTCATTAGAAGTGGGAAACTGAAAAAAGAAACATTTAATTTCAATAGATATCAATGTTGCAATTGTTTCCCCAACCATCAATATCAGCAACAGTGGCATAAAGTTATGCCTCCAATAAAATATCAGCACATGGTTAAGTGCCCATAGGATAACACCTATTTGCACCTAGGATCTACTTTCAAAAACAACCCCATAGTCTATGTTTTCTAACCACAGAGAAGTGGTTCAGCTGCTTTAACGCCTATAATTTACTTTGAGAGGAATTTATGAAGTCCATCCACATAAATCTCTTCAGTAAAGTAATAGAACAGTTGTGAATCAGGGAATAATGGAAAACCGGGGTGCCTTTCAGTTTCTCTCTGGCCAGGAAAATATTCACTTGTACACAGAGAGACAACCCTGGGACAGACTGAAGATCAGATACGATTAACCCTCTAATTTTGATAGCAGAGAGCAGAATACAAAAGGCAAAATAACTAATACTGAGTGCTTACGATTCTTCCAAATCAATAACTTGGATAGCAACTTCTTTGTTAAGCTCCTTATCAAACCTGCATATTAGAAAGGCATCAGCGGCAACAAGTACAGCATGTACACTCTTCAGATAGTTATTGTGATGGTAAAGCTTCATTTTGGAAATAAAAATAGCATGCAATATCAATAGTATTTGAAGTACAATAATGTGTATTAGCTTCTGATACTGCAATGCTTTAAGCATGTAAAGGAATTTCAATGACATAACTAAGCATACTTAAGGTGGAACATGTTCAAAACAACCCTCACAAAGTGCAAATTTATTACAAAATTCTTCACTAATTCTGCTAATCTGAATGACATGACTTAACAAGTGGAATTAAATTCCTTCTACAGATCATATTCCATGATACCTTGATGAGAAGAATCCCGTGTTCCTCCAGTTGGCAAGAACGTAAGATTTCAATTTATCATCCTAATTTCTACGTTTCCATTTTGCATAATAGATGATAGCTTAGTTTGTCTCATTGTGAGAAACCATGCATGAAAATAACTTAATCATTTTCGGAGTTTTGTGTGTTATGCATCTTTTTGTTTCTTTCTCATAGGTGATTTCAACTATGGCAGCGTATGAGCTAGAATTTCCCTGGTGTAATGGATTTCCACCACCTTAATGCTCCAATGTGGTTACAAAAGTGCAGTACTGGCAACTTATGTTCCCATGCAATCTACAGTGATATTGTACAAATTTCTAACAAGGCTTCCTAAGAAATGTATAGAGTTTCAAACTATTATAAGCAAGAGAATAGTAATGTGATTGCTGCAGAACATAAACAAGAAATGAACACATACGCTTTATAAACATCGCCAAACGATCCTCTCCCGATCAACTCCAACGAACTAAATCTAGCCCCAGCGGCCTCCATTAACCCAGCTGCATCAGCCATTCTATGCAATCAAACAAAAACCTCTTCCTTTACAGCCACTTGAGCACACAAAATTAAAACAAACACGTCCACAGTACCCACATTCTCCGAAACAACAAAAAGCACACTTCCAATTCTCCACTCCAAAATCAAATTCCCTCAACAGGGTCTCTATAAATCCATATCTTAGCCTCAAAAACCAACTCTGCAACACAATTCATAACAAACCCATCACAAATCTATCACAATTGAAGATCTAAAAAAAACCAAAAAAGTATGTTCTTTCAACAATGCAATAAAGCTAAATTTACACTCAAAGCAAAACCCATATAAAGAAATTCAAAGTAACACGTGATTTGTTTCTCTTAATTTCTTCTCCGTTAGGTGTAAGAGAGTGAACAACTAGGCGAGATATTTTTCTAAAATGACATCCCAACAAAAGAAATTTGGCAACAGCAAAATTCTATAAATGATAGCGAAATAACAGCAAACAGGTAGCCTCCAAATTGGGTTGTAATCAAAATTGACAAATTTGTTACCTTTTTGTTGATTAACCAAGACAAGAACTGAACTTGGAGGCAATTGTAGATCTTTTTTTCTCGTATGAGTCTCTTTCAAGATTAAAAAAAAAAATGAAGAAAAAAAAAATTCAATTACTTGGGGCCGGCCTCTGTCTTGTATGCGCCAAGGTGTCTCTCGTATGGGCCTCGTTGAAGGGAGGCTTTTGAGAAGAGATGCAAAGAAAAGAAGGGATCGAGAGAAATGAAAGCACTTATTCTTGATTTAACCGAAGTTTCTGATTTTTACTCCGCTGATAATTTGTGTTAATTTTTTATTTTTTTTTAGCAATAATTGTTGTTTTTAGAGTAAATTAAGGATAATATTATCTAATAATGAACTCGTGTCCGTACTGTATAGGATCTGAAGCGCTTGAACGACTGTCGTTTTGAGTTGGATAAAAAAAAGGTTTACTTCCCTTTCTTTTTTCTAAGAGTGTTTTATTATTATTATTATTATATTATTAAAAAAAAATGGAGAAAACATTGTTCCCTCAGGCGCGGTTCATTCTATATAGAAACAGTGTTTTCTCCTTGACCTTGAAAAAAAAAACCTCTTTGTCAGGTGTTCAAGGGTAAAATAGTTTTTGCATTGGAACAATTTTGGTATTCTAAAATTTACTGGGGGCAAGATTTGTATAATGACTTTCCAACACTACCATTAAAAAAATCAATTTTTAAATTTCTACACAAGATTAGTTTTGTATTTTTTGATTAAAAATATATAATGAAATAACATTTTAACATGTAAAATAAAAAAATTTAATGAACAAACAAAGAATGTTTTTGTTATTTTTAATATTGATGCACAATAAAAAGTTGTTGGCACTCTTGATGTCAAATGGTTTAACTTTTAGGTTAAAAGATATTTGTGTCCTTTTTGTTATTTTTTGTAATTAATTGGTTGGGATAGAGTCATTTACCATACTTTAATAATTAAAAAAAGAAGATTTAAAAAAAAATAACAGGTGTTGTGCAAGCATCAATACATCAACCACTTCATAATTTTTATACAACTTACATAACTAATTCTAGTGGTTAAAAAAACTATGTCACCATATCTCCTCCTTAAATATATAGCACGTAGATCAATTGGAGGTTTGGTTTGTTATCAATAACTATTTTTTTCTTTCCTCTTTCTTTTTTGATGTTTGCACTCTGCCACCTAATTTTTTAAGTCAGCCCCTGTACTTTTATTATTTTTTTAATTAGTCCCTGTTTTTTGTTTTAATTTTTTTTTTAAATTCATTAAATAAGAATTTTTTTTTTCAATTTTATCCTTATTCAAATTTTTTCCTTATCAAAATTGATTCTCATTTTTTATTGTTATTTTTTGTAGTCTAAGATAATTTTTAGAGTAGTCTTTTTTCATTCCCACCTTTCATAATTGTTTTCTTGGTAGGTTTCATTCTCATTATTTTAATTGTTTTTTTCTTTTGTTTGCAAAATTTAAAAGAGTTGCATTTTTCATATGATTTAATTGTTTGATATTTAATTGGTTTGGATTTGAGCTTAGTTAAGGCTGTGTCTAAGATTTCACGGGTTACAAACTTTGAAGATTAACCTAACTTCATGAGGTTTGTCTAGGATTACTTTAGTTTTTTCATCATTTTTTTAATCTAATGTTTTTTTTATCTCATCCTTCTTTATTTATTTAATTGGAAATTAGCTCTATTTTTTTCATGTTTTTTATGACCTTGGTTTTATTTTTTTTATTTAATTGAGTTACTTTAGGTCTTTTTATTTGTTATTCCTTGATAAGTTTATTTTTTAAAAGAAAATTTATTCTTGAATTAAATAGAATTGATTTATTGAATATAGGTGGAAGCTCACTTCATTTTTTGGTTTGATTTGCTTTAAGCGTTGCTCTAGTGACCACAATAACTTCTTCTTATGTTGTCGTCCAAAATTTTTAGTTAGGTTTGAACCGTCTCAATAAGCTTTGTTTTGTGATAGGCGATGTCAACAATGAAGTGATAAAGGGTTGCTAATAGTCTTTTTTTTTTCATTATCCTTCTAAATATAATATTAGTGGCTTATTTGTTTTAATTGATTTTTAGTCAAAATTGTTTTTTGACGATTCATCTACTATCATTGCTTGTAGTTTAAATTATATTGTTAGTATAAGGTTTTTCTTACTTCTTTATACATATCGTAGTCATCTAAACATCTTTTTTGTGTGCTCAAACATCTTTGACTGGATCACGAAGCAATGCGGGTCACCAATCTAGTAATATACTAAAATTTTTTGGCATTTCACAATAGGAGTGTGAATAGTAAAATGCTAAGACAAATCACACTTTAGTCCTTAAAAATAAAAATAAAAGTCTGAGAATTTTTTTTCTTAGTTTTTAACTTATTTTTATTTTTTTAATTTCATCCTTTAACATTAAGTTTATTGGGTATTAGACTTCATAATTTGTTTTAATTTGCTTTTGATTGAGTTATCTCGGTCTTATAACTCGAGTTATCTCGGTCTTATAACTCGAGTCGTGAGTTTTACGGGTTAGCCGTTTTGACTCGGGTTGTTTTCCTGTTTTTTACATTTTTTTCTTAACTTCTTCTTTCAACGTTGGGTTAAATGAGAATTAGACTTCATAATAATAATAATAATTTTTTTTTATTATCTTTATATGGGATTATCATGATCTTATGATCCAAGTTACAAGTATTGCTGGTTAGCTAGGTTGACTAGGTTTTTTTTTTCCTTTTGTAATTAATTTTTTTCAATTTTATCCTTTAACATTGTGTTGATTGAGAGTTGGAATTTATAATTTTATTTATTTATTTTTTATGGAGTTATCTCGATCTCCATACCTAAGTTTGATAGGTTAACTCAGGCTTACTCGGGTCATTATTTATGTCCTTTTTTATTTGATTTTATTTGTAATTCAATCCTTCAACATTGAGTTAATTGAGAGTTAAGCTTCATAATTTATTTTGTATTTTTTTCTATAAGGTTATCACAGTCTTATAACCCGGGTTGTAAGTTAAGCTGGTTGACTTGTTTTTTTTTTTAGTTGATTATTTTTCAATCTCATGCATTTGTATTAGATTGAATGTGTGTGAGACTTCATAATTTATTTCAGTTTACATTCAATGAGGTTATTTTGGTCTCACGGGTCAAGTAATGAGTTTGTTTAGTTGACTTAGGTAGTTTTTGGTGTCATTTTTTTCATCATTTAACATTGAATTGATTGTGAATTAAGCTTCATAATTTATTTCAATTTGCTTTTTATAGAGTTATCATAGTGTTATAATCCAAGTTTGGAAGGTTAACTTGGGTCGACTCAGCTTATTTTTTTAGTTGAATTTTATTTTCAATTTCATCATTTAACGTTAGGTTGATTGAGAATTGAGTTGAATTATTATTTTTATTTATTTTCTATAAGGTTTTCAGGATTTCATAACCTAGGAAACAGATTTAAGAAGCTAACCTAAGTTGATATATCTTATCATTTTAATGCTTAAAAAAACAATGTTGTTTTTAATTTTTTTAGTTAAACTACATTTTTATCGATCATCTTGGTCATCTTTGAACTTGTCATGTCTACTAAGTCACATCAAGTCAACCCTTATATAGTTTTATTTTTTTCTTTTACTAAAAACACATTAACAACACCTAGATATTTTTTATATTTAAAAAAATTAATTCAACCCATAGTGTAGTGTAGGCAATTATCTAGTACTTATTTATTAGTAAACTATTTATTTTATAATGATGCTTAATCATTTGACTTAATTATACTAATTGATGATATTTTAATTTATTAGAAACTCTTTCTTTCATTTTTTTTAATCCTCTCTTTAAGGAAAGATAGTTTGTTTTATATTTAGGAGTTATTTAAAATCTTTCAGTATGTTTGATTAAACCAATAACAAAGCGTGTCGTTTGTTATTGTTTCTTCATTGTTTTGAAATGAAAAAATGTTTATAACTTTATGGCATTTTCTTCAATGACTGGTTACATATAAAGGCAAGTACATTCAAATATTTTTAAAATCAGTCAAATTCTAAGACATGTCATACAAATGTTAGGGGAAAATCTTTTTTTTTTAATCCTAAAATCTTCTTTTCCAATCCCAATAAATATTAAAAGCTAAAGTCCAAGTTTTTTCTCCTTTGAATCTCAAAATATATTATCCTTTTTCTAATAAACTTCTTAAAAAGTAAAGTCTTAGTAACCCTTCCTTTTAAACATAAAATTCTTTTTTTCACTTCCAACAAACCTCAAAAAGGGAAATCTTGATTCAAATAATGTTTAAAATAGAATAAAATTATTTGATGACTTAAATGATGATAAATATTTCATATTTAGGTCATGATGTCACCATCTTCTTTTATGGTTAAACTAATGGTTTTCTTAATCGATAATGATTTTAGAATAAAGTTAAGATACATCGACATGAACATATTTGCGTTTCAGATAAAGAAATGTAATCTTTAACATCTGCTTTATAAATACAAATACATCCCTTGTTTTTCCCTTTGAGCCTTAAATATTTGTTAGATAATTACTCAAACTAAGATCAAACCTCATATTGAAGGCATGTTTGTAAGTTTTTAGATAATCAATGAAATTCTCTAAATAAAAAAATAAAAAAATATATGAAAGGGATAAAAGTGTTAAAAGAAAAGGAATGAGATACAAGTGAAATGGAAATGATAAAAAAAAAGAGTAAAAAGCTCTCTAAAGTGTTCTTAATAGTGATGGAAATTCCATAATTAAAAGTAAAATTTCAATGAAAAAATACAAGATAAGACTTGAAGAATTGAGATTGTAGTGAGATCAATCGTTCAAATGTCAAAATCAAGGTGAAAAGCTTAATGGTATCTATAAATAAATATGTGATCTTATTTTTTTATATCCTTAAACACCTTTTGAGCCTTATATATTTCCTTTGTTTTTATAACTATGAATCTCAACCTGCATTATATGTTTTTAAAAGTCTTTTATAATAAATAAAAATAATTTGTTTATATTGATAAATATTTAGCCTCTAGAAAGAATAATTTTTTTCAAGCAAAATCATGACTTATTTGTGAGCAAGATATCATTTTATTATTATAATTAGTCATGGGTTTTCATCGATGAATAGGAATTGAACACAATGTGAAGCAAGATGCCTTCCATTTCTACAAGTTAAAACTCTCATTTTAGAATCCAACCTTTTTCTTTCTAAAATAGTTTTTTATTTTTCAAATACTCATTCATGACATTTTCTTCACAATCC